GACGCGGGCCACCGGTGTGGTGGCTGCGGTGAAGGATTTTTGTGACAAGATTTTTTTTTTTTGAATGGGATAATATTGGTTCAAAGTGACGGAAGTGGGATTTGATTCCACAACCCCTTGGCCACTTGGACCAACAAAAGGGAAGATGGCCATTGGGCTATTAAAGATTTCTTAACCTTATAATACAAGCAAAAATATAAGTTAACTCTTTTACTGTGACTCCAGCTCGTGACAACAATTTATCTGAGGATGACAAGTCTTAATTAAAAATAACAAGTCTAAATTTGATATTAACAAAGCAACTTTTCCTTATACATAACAAATAGCAGCATGTGCATTAATTAAAAATGATCATAATTTATTTAAAAATGACACGTCTTTACTATAAAATGACAAGTCTAAAATTGATATTAACAAGGCAACTTTTCCTTATACATAACAAGAAATAGCATCTACGTTAATTAAAAATGACCATAATTTATTTGAAAATAACACGTCTTTACTGGAAAATGATAAGTCTAAACTTGATATTAACAAGGCAACTTTTTCTTATACATAACAAGAAATACCGAATAAATTGTTGTTATTTTTCAACAAAGACGTGTCATTTTTAAATAAATTATGATCATTTTTAATTAATACACATGCTGCTATTTGTTATGTATAAGGAAAAGTTGCTTTGTTAATATCAAATTTAGACTTGTTATTTTTCAATTAAGACTTGTCATCCTCAGATAAATTGTTGTCACGAGCTGGAGTCACAGTAAAAGAGTTAACTTATATTTTTGTTTGCATTATAAAGTTAAGAAATCTTTGATAGCCCAATGGCTATCCTTTTGTTGGTCCAAATGGCCAAGGGGTTGTGGGATCAAATCCCACCCCACCACTTTGAACCAATATTATTCTATTCCCAAAAAAAAAATCTTGTCACAAAAATCCTTCACCGGCAGCCACCACATCGTGGCCGGCGCCGGTGGCTAGAGGCGGTCGCCGGTGAGGGGCTGGATTTAAAAAAAAAAAAAAGAACAAAGGGCATTTTTGTCATTTCACTGAATTTCAAATTTTCAATTTGGAAAGGACTTCCCTATAGGTAATTACATTTCCTTAGCTTTCCAAATTGGCATTTCACATTTTGAAGCTTCTTTATCTGTCATTTTTCCTTTTAGTTATTTAACTATATTTATAAAATATTAGATCAGGCATCACTTCTTTCTTTATTATTTTTAACACTTAAGTGCCTGAATTTGAAAATGATAATTTCATGATTTTTTTCCTGAAATTTTCCCATTATGAAATCCGTCTTCTTGAACAAACTTAAGAAGTCACCGATGCTTTTTAAATTTTAATTTGTAATTAAAAAAATTGTATAAATAGTGTGTTTTTTGGTGGGTACGGTGCTATATTAAAAGATTAAAAATAAGTTTGGTGCATTTAAGACGGTAAATTTAAATGATGATGCAACTGAAAGTACTGAAGTTGGGAGTTGGCTGGACAAAAACTGGAAAGGACTTAAATACAAAGTACTTTCATAAATTCCCATCCATTTCCCAGCTGAATCTATGCCCAAAATAATGAAACTGTACCCTTAGGGAATTTATGTTCTAACCCTGCACGATTGTTACTGTTTCAGTTCATTATCTCCAGTGCGAACCAAAGCTTCGGGAAAAAAAAAATTAAAGAAGAACCTATACATATAGACTATCACTTCATAAAAATTAATAATTGACTTCAATAATGACTCAACCAGTAGTGATTATGATCAAGTTCTAATTTCATTATCAATATTTTTATTCACAATTAATTTGTAGGTCCCTCCTAAATCCTAATAAAGTCTTACTAATCGATCGCTTCATGATCATCATATCATTTCACAATCGTGATGATTTTGTTTGTTCTGCACTCATTGAAGTCATTTCCCAATCAAGAACCATATGTTCGTTGTTTTTATTACTGCTTTCCTTTTTCTGAATGGCTTCCAAGAGTCTGTTCCTATTCCTTATATATTTATCTATATTTATGGCGATGAACAAAGTCAGTGAAGTAGTGGGAAATGACCATACCTTGAACTTTCGATTCCTTTTTTTTTTTTTAATTTTCAAGGGCAAGTTATGTAAAGAATTGACAGTACTATTATTTAACTCCCTGTGCAGTTTGATTCGTTCTCTGTTTTTGGTTGCTTATCCTCCATAATTGTACCGACGGTGTTATTCTTCTATTAAATCTCTTCCCTCGTTGGAGCCACAAAAGTTAATGCACTTCCAACCAAACAATTTTGCTTTTAGAAAAATAATGAGGAGTAGGTAAATACAGCTAGGTATGGTGCGTGTTCAAAATTACACGTACACAGTTTTGCATACATTTATTAAAGTTTTTATTATTCTATTATCAACCAATGGCCTGGTGTGAATGTAATGTGGTGCGTGAAATTTAAAAAAATCAATCACATTATTCATACCTTAAGAATTGCAATTGTATAATAACTGATGGAAATTTTATATTTTTGGTAGACATAAAGATGCTATACGCGTGTCAATATTATTGAACTTGCTTATCAGCATGTCGCCACAGCTTCAGTGTTTTCTATACACAAAGAAAACTCAAAATTATTTTAGCTGCCTCTTTGATTGATGTAACCTTTTTGACCGAAGAATATATTAGAGCAAATAATAACGCTAGTGAAGTCTATCTTCAGTTTTTTCTTCGCCAATCAATAGATTCGAACTAATAAACGCTTGTGATTACTTATGTCTCCATGCCCTTCTAAATTAAATTCCATCGCCTTGCTAGAATATCCATTTCCAATATGTAAGCATGGGTTTGATTAATATGTGTGATTCATATTATCAACTACAAGACTCCCATTTTGCTTGCATATCGTAGAATAAAAAGGTGTTTGGACTTTAAATTAGTTTTTTAAAAATAATTTTATAGTATTTGAAGTAAGTTTATTAGAACAGTTTTATCTCGACTTACTTAAAAATATTTTTTTAAGTGTTTTACAAGGTTTCCAAATACTTCTTAGATATGATAATCTCTTCTAGCAAGGTTTGAAAAGTGAAAACACTTCATTTTGTCACAAAAGTCACACTATCCTAAAGTATTGAGAAAATTGTACCATTATGTTAGTGAAGTACACAAAAAAAGGATATTACATCACTTCTGCATAACCAGTTTATTTTTAGAAAAATAATGAGGAGTAGGTAAATATAGGTAAGGCATCGTATGTTCAAATTACACGCACACAGTCAGCGCCCATTCATTAAAGTTTTTGCCTTTTTATTATCAACCCGGGGGGGGGGGTTATAAAATTTTAAAAAGTAGATCGCATTATCCATACCTTCAGAATTGTATAAATTGATAGAAATTTTATATTAAGTTAATATTATTATTAATCCTTACATTTTAATTGAATTTTGATTTTGTTTTATAGTTTTGTTTTTGGCCAAATTTTGTTTTATATAGTTTTAGATCATGGTTTTTGGTCCTTATAATTTCTTCCATCCAAAATCTCCATACCTATAGTTTCAAAAGGATTTAGATCAGAGTTTTATAGTATCAAGTATATAGACAAAAGCCAAGACTCGTCAAAGTATAAGAATTAACATTTAAACTTTTTAGAAGTACAGGGGACTCTTGTTAAAACTAAAAATTAACAAAGTCTTCAATTCCCCCCTTTTTAGGGAAAATCCTCATTTGGCAAATTTTTTTTATCAGAAGGACATGGTTCAATTATCACAGTTCTTCTCTAGTCGTTCGTGACTTACTAATTATGTGTAAAAGTTTTCAATACCAAAATTATATGTGCATAAATAAAGATATGTTACACATAATTAAAAAGAGTTATACCTACTAAAAATGAGAATGATTGCACCCTCTTAAGTTGATGAAATCAGATTTGAAAATTAAAAAAAATAATAGAATATGTGTTTGAATATTAAAAATCAGATTTTATTGTAAAAAAATCGAAATTTCCCCTCAAAATTGGTTTTGTGAGTCAAAATCAATCAATTTCTCTGTCCTCAATTGCGTATTTAATAAGTTATCCTTTATTTGTACTTTTTAATAAGGAGTTTTGATTATGATCTTTATACTTTTAACTAGTTTTAATTTTTATTCTTAATATTTAATAGCCGTTAAACTTAAAGCCATGTCTTTGTAAAGCTATATAAACTAACGTTTTGGATGAAAAAAAGCTTTAGGAACAAAAAATCATGATTCAAAACTTACACAAATCAAAATCAAAATTTAATCAAAATATGAGAATAAACAGTTGTATTAACTTTATATTTTATATTTCACGTAGACACAAAGATGTTATATCGCCGGCGTCACTATTGTTGAGTTTGCTTTTCAGCATGTCGCCACAGCTTCAGTGTTTTCCATGCACAAATAGAACTCAAAATGATTTTGGCTGCCTCTTTGATTGATGTAACTTGACAGAAGAATATTATATATATACACACACACACGACCAAATAGTGAATACTCCCTTATTTGGGCTTCATTCTCGGGTCTCGTCATCCCTGTGCCTTCACATGGCAGTACTATATCATCAGTCCTTTTGTCTTATTCTTTTCACTTTTCACCATTCTTCCGCTAATTAATTACCTTGATATATACCGAGTTAAATAAGTTGTTCTAGGAACCACAGCATACCACGCGACATCTATAAATTCGGTTTTCTTTTTTGTTTGCCAACCAATAAATTCGAACGAAACACTTGTGATTTAATGTGCTTCCGAGTCCTTCTAAATTCCATCACCTTGCTAGAATATTTATTCATAATATAAGCATGGACTAGTTAATTCGTATAATTTGTATTATCTGTAGAAGACTCTCATTTTGCGTGCCTCTAAGTATCCTTTTATCGGACGTCACACACTAAATAAGAGAATCTCTTTTATCGATGAACACTCAATTTTGTCACAAAGGTCACTCTCCTAATCAGACAAGTGTGCCATTATATTAACGGAGTACACAAAATAAGGACCTTACATCACTTCTGAATAATTAAGGACGTTGATGTTATATACATTCCCCGGTACTAGCTTTAAGCTTATGAATATCATGTTGGCCTCGTGATTACCATTTATTAACACCACATAGCAAAATTTACTATACAACAAGGTTTTTATTGTGAGAAGAGTCCAAGATTTGTTTCATCAAGTTCAAGGAACTGGCTAACCCACTCCAGATTCAATGGACCTTCCTCTACAGAAAAATCGAAAAAGCTGTCCACATCAAAGCTGGGTTTTGATGATGAGTCTTCAGCTTCCTCAGTGGAAACCTCTTCTCTGATTACCTCAGCTTCGTCAGGAATCTTCTGCTCGGCCGCCACCTCTTGTTTCTCTTTGGTTGAACTCCCACTTGAGTGCTTCTCCCTCTGCTTTATCTTCTTGCTCAAATGAGAATTCCAATAGTTCTTTATCTCATTATCTGTTCGGCCTGGTAGCCTCCCAGCGATTAAAGCCCACCTACAGCATTTATCAGCTATTCAAGTAAGAGCTCATAATTGCAACAATAAAAGACCATTAGACTTTGAAGGAGGGAAAATTTGATTATCAACACGCCACGAGGTTAGTTCATTTGAAAGTTTTAAGTTCTGTTAAAATGAATGAAAATAATTAAATTCTATCATAATCTCTAGCAATATAATGTACTGACCTGTTTCCTAAGAGTTTATGAAGCCGAAGAATCAAATCCTCTTCTTGGTCTGATATGTTTCCCCTCTTGATGTTGGGTCTGAGATAGTTCAACCATCTCAATCTGCAACTCTTCCCACACCGATTAAGAGCTACATAAACCAAATTTAACTCATCAAATTGTCGCTATCATCAGCTTCGACTGAAAAATTTAAAATGAACTGAGTTTTGACCCAAGATCAGCAAGCTAATATTTTAATTAAGAGATCAAACAGAAGCATCATATATTCAAATACTATATACATAGAGATTCCGTTATCAATATCAAGAATATTAATTTCGTTTTTAAATTCTATCCATAATGTTGTTATAATAAATAAAACCAGATATATATAATACCTGCTTTCGATGCAATGGACTTCCATCTTTTTGCCCCATGAACTGCAATGACTTCCGCTAGTTTCTTATCTTCTTCTGGCGTCCATGCTGCTTTACTAAGAGGCACATTTGTCATGGCTTCAACTGGCTTCGCTTTCCTCTTAATACGATTATCAGTCTCAGAAGCCATTGTCTTTCCCTTCCTAGCTTTCTAGAAGATGTGAGAGAGAGAGAGAGAGAAGTTCTCGAGCTGTGGGAAAGTCTAGCCGTATGAGTTTGTGAGGTGTGAAACTACAAAGAAGACTACAAATTTCTCAGTGGAAAAGAAGTTCCCTTCTTGCAATTATATATATGAATTGTGCTTGAAAACGGGGGAGAGAAGTGACACTTGTCATTAGTGTGAAGAGAAGGGTCATGGATTGATGATTGAGCCATAGAGTCCTACAAAGTCTCCCTTCTTTCTTTTTAACTAATGCCCTCTTTTTTCTTTTTTTAATTTGTAATGCTGGGAGGAAAAAAGTCTATTGCTATAAATGCTACAAGGAGGCCGCCATATTCTATAAGAAAAGGGCATAGACGCATAGCGAGTGATTATGACCTTCAAAAATTGAATAAATTCTTTTCCTCAGGAGAAGGTGTGGCCACTTGCAAGAGGATCTATCTTTATTCTTGAATTTATTTTTTACCGACGTGATTGCTGAGAAAATTACAAAAGCCTCCATAACATGTTGGGTTTAATTAAGATCAACTAGTATATAAAATTCATATTTTCGTGAGTTTATTATTGATGGAATTGACATAAATTAATTGTTATTGGTTCACTGCCCAATAAATTGGACCCATTTGAATATAATTTTAAAATAAAATAAATCTACTTACTTTATATTCTAAACAATTGTTTATAAATCATTCTAAACAGATTTTATTAAAACAATTGAGAGTCTCGCTTGCATTCATATAAGAGTGTGAGTTCTGTCCTCAAAAAGTGAAAAGGGAGACTGGGTAAAATAGCTTCTTTTTTTATTGTTTTTTTGTTACATCGGTAAAATAGCTTTTGTCATCTAGCTCATGTAGTAAACTTGTAGGAATCTTTCGTGATTTACTTTTTCGGGGCTGCTAAAGTATAATAATTAGAATGAATCGTTGACTGTGGATATACACAATGTTGCACTAAGTTTGAGATTTTAATCGTATGAAAGAGAATATACTTTTCATAAAAGTATTTAAGTAGTAGAGAATAGCCTATAGTGAGTGAAGGATGGCACGAGGAACAAAGATTATTGGTGAATGAAGTTGCTGCGTTTCTGTGTTTCTCTCTTTTGAGACTCTATGGCCCCCATCTTTTTGTGCCCTTTCTGACAACATGTATATTACTGCGTAACTTCTGAACATCTTATTTATTAAATTCCAGTTTTTTTTTTTTTTGCCATCTATTAAATTCCAGGTCCGCAATGTACTCTGCCCGTGAATTATTTATGATTTTTTTTATTTTCTGTACTTTATCTAATCAAATGAAAGCTGTACGTATTTTCACATGAGTAAAAAGGGTTCTGAATTTTCATCTCTACTTCAATATTGTTACCCCCATTTAGGCAAATTGACATGTTAGAGGAAAGAAGTCAACTATTTTGATACTTTGATTACCATATACTAATCTCATATAATCTCCTTTTTTTATTAAAAAAAATCTTATATAATCTCTTACCAGTAGTTAAGAATGGTAGATGAATAAATGAACATATCCTGTGGTGGAACCCAGCGTTATAGGCGCTCAAAGTCAAAGACTCAGTGATACATGCAGTATGCTAACTACATATTGAGACGGGTACTCCTCCGGCCGGTTCACATGTAGGTTAAAGTATTGAAAATGAAATATTGGGATTGGGATTACAATAAAAAAAATTAATGAAAAGAGTGTTTAGTATAAAAAATTACTTACTCTATGGGATTAGTTAAACCTATGTATGTGAGATTGGAGAATACCATGAGAGAAGTGGTATTTTCTAATCCTATCTTTATGAGTTTGTCTAATCCCATATAATAAGTAATTACTCATGCCAAATACTATTTTAATGATTTTTTTCAATTATAATCTCAATCTCAATCCCTTATTTTTGATGTTTCACACCAAACGGGACCATAAGGTATTTTTTTAAATGTGATCATTTTTTTTATAAGCTATTAGATAGTCTTAAGAAGTACTAGATTTTTTTTCATATATGTTCATATTTAATAACTACAGTGAGAGTAAAAATTAATATATGATGTTTATGTTTAAAAAAAAGGATAATATTAAAAATTGAATTTTTTGACGTACAAATTTAATTTTTTTAACTGTTTTTGTTAAAACATATGAATTAGTTAAGATCGATTTATATTGGCAAAAAAAGTTAAATTGATTTATATTTAGGATGAGGAGGACGAGAAGAAGTATTAATCAAAAAAATTTCGTCTCTTGAGCCAATTAATTAAGATACATGTAGTGAGATGTTGATGAGCAACATCTTGTGATGGAGCAATAGAATGATGAGAGTGGAAATTGATATATGATATTCACATTTAGAAAAAACCCATAAAGGTAATGTTAAAAATGACTTGAATTTTATTATATATATGGGAAAATTACGTACAAATCCCACAAAAGAGATTTTATTCATCTAAGATCTCACAAAATATCAAAATTACTGACAGGTTCCAAGGGACCGTAGAGTAATATATTCTATTTGTAAAATGACGTTACTACTCCTCACATTCCAAATTCACATTTGCTCTGTCATTGCGATTTACAATCTCAGCTGCGACTATTAACAACCCAATGAGAAGGTGTTGACAACCTAAGCAGTATCCGTTAACAACTTACTTTATAGGATCATATAACATCCACATAAGAGTAAATTATAACCAAATAGTATAATATAACAACTTTAACACTAAAATGGGAAGCTTTTCGAAGCCATTAAGAACTTTAACTAAATCTACTAGGATTATAACAAAATTTTAATACGGAGATCCAATGACAACCTCAACAGTGAGTATTAATAACTTAAGGAGAACTGTTAACAGCCTTAGCAGTGTCTGTTAACAACTGACTTTATAGGATAATAAAACCTCTAACAACTATAGTTATAATCCTATGGGTTAGTTAAAGTTCTTAATGGCTTCGAAAAGCCTTCCCATTTTAGTGTTAAAGTTGTTGTATTATACTATTTGGTTATAATTTACTCTTATGTGGAGGTTATGTAATCTTATAAAGTAAGTTGTTAACGGATACTGCTTAGGTTGTCAACACCTTCTCATTTGGTTGTTAATAGTCGCAGCTAAGACTGTAAATCGCAATGACAGAGCAAATGTGAATTTGGAATGTGAGGGGCAGTAACATCATTTTACAAATAGAATATATTGCTCTACGGTCCCTTGGGACCTGTCAGTAATTTTGACATTTCGTGGGACCTGTGTGTAATTTTTCCTATATATATTTAATTATTTTTATTAATACGTACAATTAATAAGTTATATTGAGGACGCTGTAGACTGTAGTACTAGAAGAAATATTAACTAAAAAAATTCGTGTCTTAAACCAATTAATTAAGATATGCTCAAGTGACGGCGCAATAGATCACCTAATTTTGTTGTTAGGGGAAAAAAACAAAAGAACTCAAAGTGATGGATGAGCCATCATTAATTTAAGATTATACTGCATAATTGTTGCCTAATACAAGTGGAATTATAAATCCGTACAAAAAGGCTTTAGTGATTAAAAAGGGAGGCCCATTTTAATCCCTTTCACGGTTTTTTTTTAACATAATTATTAGCCTCAGAAAACGCTTTTTTCTCCTCCCAATTATTTTAGATTAACCTAGCTAGGAATCTTGATCACGCTCCACTGTTGCTCACTAATTAATTTCACGGTAGATATATAGCCACTAGGCTGTGCTGTGACATGGATGCAGTGATGTTACAATTGCAATCACGTGCTACAATTTCATTTAACTTCAAAAGAATTTGTGAAAAATAATAAATATGATTTTATTTCAAAAATTATTGAAATGACATGGATGCTATTAAATATTAACCATCAAAGGAATTAGAGTAGGCTACATGCAAAGTGCAAAATGTGCAACTACTTAGTATTTATATAGATGTTTGTGTGTTGAAATAAATGCACATATATGATAATAATCGCACAAACATACAATGCAAATCAAGAAAATTATACTATCTCTGATTTTAATTATAAGACCTCGTTTATAGTTTATAAATAAGATCTTATAATTAGGATTGGAGGTAGTAGCACGTCTTCTCATTTTAAATTCCCAAACCAAAAGTTTCCTAATAAGTAGTCATCGCTTGTCGGTCAACAAGCTAATATAAATCAAATGAAATCAAATCTACCTCATGTTCTTAATGTAAGAGTAATTTAACATTCAATTTGATCTTAAATATAAAATTCTAATATATTTTGTTTTTTCATATTTATTTAAATAGTCTCTGTAGTAGTTGCACATGTTAAAGATTTCATCACATATTAGTTCTGGCTAATACATATAATTGTAAAAAAAATTCTATGAAAGACAACACCTATTTATTATAAATAACTAACTTAACAAATTTTTTTAATCTATTTAAATTAGTTAATTAGCTCTTATATTAAGGATAAAAGTATTCCTATCAATTTGAATTTGTAAGATTGTCATGAACTTGATATAAGAATACTGGTGGAGCGAGATGGGGAATGTAGATTAATGACAGTGACACTCTGGTGAGGAGATTCTCTTTTTTCTTTTGTTGAAAATATCCAAAAACGAAATGAATAATTAATTAAATATCAGATACAGTTTACTACACCTAATTAACCAGTTCTTTTCCTTTTTTGTCAGAACCTAATTAACAAGGGTTAGCCCTCCGAGATCACTCCGATTTACACATTTGTCTCCATCTTCGATTCACTAATGGAGTGTGCACTGTGAGGAACCCTAATTAATTAATCATTAGTCAATGGGTTGTTAGCATTGAAATGACCCGCACATACAAAGCCCCTTGACTTAAATCTTAAATCATGTATTTGGTTAGGTGAAAAATAGCGGTCCAAATTAATGCCTACAAAAAAAATTGTCTAGAAAGTCCTTAGATTTTGTTATTTTGTGAAGATTTGGTGCATTTATTATAACTTGGAATAAGATGTGTGGTGTTCACACCCAAAAAACAGGGAGCTAATTAAGGATTAGGTGTGTGTCACATGTGTTATTATATTGTGGAATTATTTTAGGTGACATGTGGATGGTGCATATTGATTGGGATTTTTCTACTAGGGTGTGCGCATATATGAAATTGAGTTAGAACAAAACATTCGAATGAAATTAAAATTACCCCGCATTTACTTT